AAGAACGACCACAGTTGCGGTGGGGGCAAACGTGGGGCTTGGGCCTGTTGGGATCATGCGTTCCCATATGAGTCTTCAAGTTGTAGGCTCGAGCGAATGCTATTGGTAGGTCATTCAGCCACTGGTCACAGGCAGTGGAGGGTATAGTCTACCTCTGGGACATAAATGGCATTTATACTTGCGCTTGCTGTCCCCGTTGTACTCGTCGTGGTGTCGAGACGAGACATTGGTCGGCCCAGAAGGAAGCTGCGCGGAAACATGTGCCGGCGAGATAGTTGGTGCTAAGGCAGCGAAGCTAAGTGAGTAGTAATCGGACGAGGTCCCAGAGCTGCGTCGGGGGGGCTATAGTCTGAATAACTCCCGCGGTGGTAGTTCTTGTCACTTTTAGCAAGAAGGGAAACAGGCGGACTGCGGGGAGGTGTCGGTGGAAGGGTACCGAAGGAAGTAGGATCCGCGTCATCCATATGGATGTTCGACTGGGCCCCCGCATAATCCGAGTCAACGTTAAAGCGCGAGAATTCCATGGTAATGTCTGTGGGGCTGGAATACGCGGAGTACACAGAGTGAGTAGTAGGGAAGTTGTAAATGGATTCAGAGTGAGAAGAGAGGGAGTCATAAGACTCGTTGGAAAATGTGATGTTAGACAGGGGTCCTGGAGTGTTTGACCTGAGATGTGAAAAGTCGTTGGATGTGAAAGCGTGTATCGGGATGTCCTCTGGGTCGAGACCAACTAACACACTGTCGAGGTCAGAATCGAAATAATCTGGATCTGGAGCCGCAACGTCCGTTGGGCACGAGAAGAATCCTAAATTCAAGGAATGCTGCTGTTGTGACTTAGCGAAACCACTGGCATGAGCATAGTGGAATTCTGAGTCCATGGTTTGAGGACAAATGAACGGCGGACGACTGAGGAGAGGTGTGGTGAGGTGGAAGTTGGGAGGAAAGCTGCGGATTTGATTACTGGGAATTCCGGACAAGCTCAATATAGAATTATCGGTGCTGCGGATGCTTATGTCATTGCTCTCTCTGGCCGGCCCCTTGATGGCCGTACGCTCACACCAAGGTGTCCACACCCCGTTCTTCACTGTTCTTCTATTATATGTCTTGATCTATCGCTTATATTCAATGCCGCTTCAGCATGCTTTGCCAGCGTCTTTTCCACTCTTCTAACCAGTTTTCTGTAAATGACATGCTCCACAACAAAATAACCTTCCTACACGAGCCTGACTCATTGCGCCCAACCCAAGAGCCCCTTTTGTTTAATGTGTCCCTCTTCTAATCACTTCGGAGGATGGCCACGTCAGCTTTTGCGACCATGTCATTTGGCACTGCCATTCGGATATCTTTGTAAGTGGTTGGCAAGCCCTTCGAGCCAGGGTTCCTCTAACACAAATGGACTGTCAATCGAACACATGCTGGGGGGCCATGGAATCGAACGTGGGATGAACGAGCCCTACAAGCCACCTTCGCCATGATTCTCAATCCAAGGATCCCTCCAATTGGCAGACCCAACTCGATGCCCGCGGAACCCCACTATGTCGCAAGTTGCCTCGTGTCTTGATCGATACCGGCAGTAGTGGGGCTATGCAGTGTTTACCGAATACATCAGCCTCTCTTCGTCACTACTCCGAAATCCAAATACTTACATCAAATCTCCTAACTTGGTAACGACCTTGGTCCAACACCTCATCATTTTCCCTGCATGGGGTGGTGCGTTGGAGCTGTGTCGCTCGCCCCGTGTTTTGACAAAGATTCGTGGTTGTTCCCGAATTCCAAGGACACGAATTGAAATCTATTCCATTAGTTTAACAAAACTCATATGTAGTTTATGGATCATGGCTCTAGTCCACCCGGGCCGAACCTGTCAGCCAAGGAGCTGATCACATAGCCCGCCTAGCTCAATCGGATAGAGCGTCAGACTCTTAGGCGGGTTTGTGATGGCACCCCCAGTGTTATCTGAAGGCTGCGAGTTCGACCCTCGCGGTGGGCTAATGTGTTTTGTTTTTTTTGGTTTTCTCATGCGATGCAATTTCAATTTATATATACAATAATTGTCGGTATCGCGTATTGACCTGCCCTACAGTCAATATTGCTTCTGTTTGTCAAGGCTGCGTTCGAGTTGATGAATACACACATCTGCAATAATGTCTGGCTTTGATACAAATAACATATACAATGTTTCTGTCCACGACGTCCCAGCCGCATCTGCTCCTGATTCTCCCTCCGAAACAGAGAAACTGTTCCTCGAGTTTCTTTTGCAATATCGCGTGGGTGGGGAGTTTATCTACCGGTGCGTTCAATGGCCTGGAAGGGATGTTTCTACTCATTGTTGTCACATAGAGATAAATTACGCGGAAATCTTCTCCTCAAACAGTATGTTCTCGAGGTTGACCTCCGACATGTTAGTTTATACAACGACGAACTTGCACACACAATCCAAGATCGTCCTGCCGATGTTCTTCCACTCTTTGAAAGCGCGGCTACAAAAGCCGCCCGGAGCATCTTATTCCCTGTGGCTCGGGCGGACGACGTTGCGCTTGAATCCATACAAAATGTACAAATCACCCTTCGGTCGGGTTTAAACATGCTGCAATTTCGGGATCTCACAGCAGATACAATGAACAAATTGGTTAGGATTCCTGGAATTGTTATATCAGCCTCTGGACCATCCTTTCGCGCGACGAAACTCCATCTCAAATGTCGTGCCTGCCTAACCGTCAAGGAGATCCATCCCTTGGGTGGAATGGGTGGGGTTGGTGGAGGGTCTGACCGTGGGCTTCCCCGGACCTGCGAAGCCAACCCAAAAGGCGAAAAGTGTCCCTTGGATCCCTATCTGATCATTCATTCCAAATCCACTTTTGCCGATCAGCAGACACTAAAATTGCAGGAGGCACCAGATATGGTCCCAGTTGGAGAGCTACCAAGACATATGCTTCTTTCTTGCGACCGTTATCTTACTGGAAGGGTCGTGCCAGGATCAAGGGTGATTGCGACAGGAATATACTCCACTTTCCAGTCTGCGAAGAATGTTAGTTTTCTTGTGGCAAGTGTGTAGCTCCGTGACTGAATTTATACAAACAGAAAAATTCTGGGCCTGCAGCTCTCCGACAGCCCTACCTTCGTGTTGTACATCTTGAATTATCGTCTCCGTCCCCTGGGTCATCGGGCGGCTCCAACCCATTTGGTATCCAATTCACGCCGGAAGAAGAAGAAGAATTTGGAGAAATGGCGCGTAGTGAGGGCTTTTATGAACGATTCGCAAAGAGCGTCGGTCCAAGTATCTACGGGAGCCTTGGTACGTATAAGACATATGTCCTGAATCACCAATATTAAGAGTTATCAGATATAAAGAAAGCGATTACATGCCTACTGTTCGGAGGTTCTAGGAAAGTCCTCCCCGATGGGATGCGACTGCGAGGAGATATTAATGTTTTATTATTGGGAGATCCGGGTACCGCAAAGAGTCAGCTGTTGAAGTTTGTGGAGAAGGTGATGAGACTGTCATGATTGCTCTCTGGGGCTAACTTGCGCCTACAAAGGTAGCGCCAATCGCTGTTTATACCTCAGGCAAAGGTTCTAGTGCCGCTGGCTTAACAGCCTCCGTGCAAAGAGATGCAATCTCCGTGCGTCATTCTTATAGAAAACGAGCTCCCATGTCTCATCCTCTCCCACAGCGGGAGTTCTATCTGGAAGGCGGAGCCATGGTACTTGCAGATACTGGTGTCGTATGCATCGATGAGTTTGACAAGATGCGTGACGAGGACCGGGTCGCAATTCACGAAGCCATGGAGCAACAAACAATTTCCATTGCTAAAGCTGGTATTACGACTGTACTCAATTCACGAACGAGCGTTTTAGCAGCCGCAAATCCGGTGTTTGGCCGTTATGATGAGGGGAGAAGTCCTGGAGAAAATATTGATTTCCAGACGACCATCCTATCGAGGTTTGATATGATTTTCATCGTCAAGGACGAGCATAACGAACAAAGAGATAAGGTGTCTATTTTGCTCCCGCGTACCTGGCCCCTATTAAAAATGAATTTAGATGATTGCACGACATGTCATGAATATCCACATGAATCTGCCTAATGCTCAAAGGACAGAGGAGTCCGGGGAATTAGGATTAGATAAGATGAAAAGATACATTTCATATTGCAAAAAGTGGGTCCAACGAGGTGATAATTTAATTTATCTTACAAACCTCCTGTAGTAAATGTGCACCAAGGCTCTCCGCTGATGCACAGGAGATGTTGAGCAGCCATTTCGTAAGCTTACGGAAACAAGTACAGCAGGTGGAGAGGGATAATGACGAAAGGAGCTCTATTCCTATTACTGTGCGGTGAGTATATTCATTTTAACATTTGTCAAGAAGCTCACCTTGTTTCAGCCAACTCGAAGCTATTATTCGAATATCTGAATCATTAGCAAAGCTTACGCTTTCACCGGTGGTCCAAAATCATCATGTTGAGGAGGCTATCCGGCTCTTCAAAATTTCTACTATGGATGCTGTCTCCGCTGGTTCCGCTGATGGTCTCTCGCGCGGTGAATTAAACGAGGAGATGACGCGAATCGAGCGGGAATTAAGGAGGCGTTTGCCTGTGGGATGGAGCACAAGTTATCAAAGTCTAGTGAAGGAGTTTGTAACACAACAAGGCTATTCGAGCCATGCTCTGGAACGAACGTTATACATCATGGAAAAACGAGAAATCATCAGGTTTTCAGGACAGGTATGTTGGTGCTCCAGCCGTATCTGGAAGCGACTAACCATTCATTCAAACAGAAAAAAGTGGTACACAGGTCCGTCTGACTGTTGATGCATCATTCGTAGCACTTACTCTTTCTTTCAAGGGTGGGCGTATAATATAATTAGCTATCCGCCTATAGCTTGTATATGTGTGTGTCAATCTCCTGTATTCTGAAATACCCAACCGCCTCGGGTGATTGTCCTGATTCCACGAATAATCTAAACATTCTATGGGCACCCGTAAATGGACTTTTATCGCCCGCCTAGCTCAATCGGATAGAGCGTCAGACTTTTACAGAGGTCCGGGTGACTGGTCACTACTGTGATCTGAAGGCTGCGAGTTCGACCCTCGCGGTGGGCTATTGTATTTTGTTATTTTTCTTTCCTTATGATACCCTCACACCCTCATTTCAAATATCAGTAGTGTCGTTGACGTCCCCTCTCCCGCTTGCAATGTTGACATAACTCGCCTCTCCCTCGACCCGTGTTTCCCTCGATCCATTAAGTCTATGCCCTTCTGACAACCCATCTGTGTGGCAGGTCATCTCACCACCCTCGACAGCCTTCAGACTTCCATGGCAGGGCTCCCAGATGTAATTGAAACCCTTACATACGCTCCCCACCAGAATAGCACAATCTACACGGGCTTTCTTCGTGCATTCATTACTGACTTTCCTGTTCGAATCTTGTCGACTCTTGTCAAAGCTGCCCTCGCTTTGCCCGCCTGTTTTCCACAACACGAGAGAACGGTCTTTGGACCTCGAATCTGGTTGTGAAACTGGACCAGTTACGAGTACGATCCACTGTAACACATCAAACCCCCGCCAAACTTACCCTTTTCCCTGAGGGGTAACAGGTGGGGTCGTTCGTTCACTTGCTGGTACTCCGGGCGACGGCCTCCGAACCGTAACGCGATGCGTGAATATCTTGCGATCCTGTTTCACTTCTTCGTAATCCCAGCCTCGGATTCGATCACTCTTCATGAATACCACTCACTCGGAGGAGCTAGCTCACCCGAGCGCATTTGGAAAGAATGCACTTTGATCTTGGGGTACTTGGTGTTTGAGAAGGCATTAACCTTGCCTTGTCCATCCATTAAATGTGCAGTTATTTCATCAAACAGCTCCCCGGGATTTGGTCCGTCTGTCGCACAAGAAGAACCCACTGTAACGACTGCATGTCCTGCCCTTCCCCCATTAGGGGCATTCCTTGTATCCCCTCCCGTTCCTGCAAACGCGATTATCCTCGCACACGAGGTGTGCTGCCGCTGTCGTCGTGGCTTGGTCAAGGCAGATCTACACATTGTACCCGCCTATTGTCCCCGGGTGAATTTGGGACCTACACCTCCCCTTGAATGAACGCGCTCAAACTCAACCGGGCGGCCTACTGGAGATCAATTCGTATAAGTGTCAATTCGGGCTATCGCTGCTTCCGTGGCTTGTACGAGTAATGGCCACCATCAAAAAGACCAGACGTATCCTGGCATAGGGTATTCCGAGCCATTTCGTTAACACAGTTGATGTCGTTGTATTATCGACGAATCCTCGAACCCGTCCAGACGTTGTTTGGACAATCGGTGTTGTTTCAACACTAAGCCCTCGGAGTTAGCCGCGACCTTGATAGGAGTCAGGACACAGAAGGTGCTCCACGGTTCAACAAGTGTGGAGAGCCCCTCAAGAGGCCCACACCAGGGCTCGTTCTGAGAGTCGTTCTGAGAGCTGGGATCAAAGAAAATATTGCTAGGTAACACCAAATTAGAATCATATCACCATGACGTCGGGACTCAAGCCACTCCTTACTTGATTGTTCAAAGTATTGTCGCCCATGCCTCCTCATACACATACGCAACTCCAAAAATGACTATTGCCCATGGCCATGGAAGTACTATTCATTCAGGGGTTATCGACGTATATAAAAAATGACGGGCTCATTTCGGATATAATATTATTCCCTCTAGCCGACTTGAACGACTGACCTCGTCATACAAGGGGGTACTAGTGACGCGCTCTACCACTGAGCTAAGAGGGATGCGAATCTGGCCTCAGACGACTATTTCAACCTGATGAACACTGGTTGATGAGTTCCGCTATTTCTTACGATCATAGAAGGCAAAGGGGGGCTGTTTAAATATTCCCTCTTAGCTCAGTGGTAGAGCGCGTCACTAGTACCCCCTGGTATGACGAGGTCAGTCGTTCAAGTCGGCTAGAGGGAAGTGTTTTTAATAGCTTTTGACTCCGCCAGGAGCAACTCATCCTGCATTAATCGTTACTTGTCCCAGACCCATTTTGATTCAGAGATCTTTCATCGGACAGTTTAGCAATGAGCGCTATGGATACGGACGAAGTCTCCGTCGTTCTTCCGTCCACAACAACATCAGGCTTATCCCTCTCTTTGTAAGTAATCTGACCCCTGTCTAACCCAGAGATGATGGAGAACACCTCAGACACCCACTGCCGATCCTCAATATTTCTGAACATTTGACCAGGCTGAAACTACAAACTAATAGCCCGTCTCCATTCGGTATGTTGAAGGCCTTCTTAAAGCCTGGATGATCGATAATGGCGCGTAGTATTAGGGGCCTTGCTCGGAACGCAGAACGGACGGGAAGTCGAGATCGTGAACACATTTGAACTGGCGGTTGAGGGCGAAACAAGCTCGGTAGACCACGGGTTTTTAGTATCCAGAAGAGACCAATGTACGTCGCTTCGAAACCCGGTTCCGTGCATCTTCATTCGTTGGCGCAGATAAGCAAGTGTTCCCGTCACTGGAATTTATTGGGTGGTACACTGTGGCGCCTAACCCTACCAGTCGCCATGTCGCACTTCATGAACAGGTCCGTCTAACAATTTGTATTACGTTCGCAAATTGAACATCACCTCAAGTTCACAGGATATTGCTCTACACCACTTCTTCTCGTGCTACAACCTAGCCTAAATACGGCTGCGAATTCTGATGTCAATGCCCAGACTCTTCCTTTCAAGGCCTATGAACCATCCATCGAAATCCGCGAGCGAACATCGCGTTCCGTGTTCATCGAGGTGGCATATAATGTTGAAACTGGCGAAGCTGAACGCATCGCCGTAGATTGGACCGCCAGAGGCGGGGGTAGTGGAACAAGTTGTTCGTCGAAAGTTTAATGGAACCGGTGTACTCATTAACCCAATTTTGCCAGTGGAGTCACATCTCCAGACCCAACGATCGGCTGTAAAAATGCTGCATGAACGGATCCTGGTGCTCGTCAAATATGTTACAGACGTCATTGCGGGCGAGTTCAATGGTTTTGTGTATCCCAGCTTCGCTGACGGTGAGAATTTACCAGGCGAGGCGCCTAAGGATTATGCAACGCTTCGCGCTTTGACGGCTCTAATAGCCTCACTTCCTGCAAGTGAGAACAAAGCTTTTCGCGAGGAATTCGATACAGTACGTAAATAACAACCGCACCAATCCGCATAAATTCCTACACACAACGGTTAGGAATACGAAGATGTGCAGCTAACGGCCTTCCTCTCTCCTTGACAAAATCAGCCAACGTACTAAACGATGTAAGCGGTGGTGCAGTCAACTATGACAAACGTTATTGAACGCTTTCCAGCTCGTCGACAAGCACCTATTGTTAACCGCAGGGCGGGACGATAGGGGTCCAGGAGGTCCCAGGAGAAGGGGAATGGGTAGGCATGGAACGATGCCGGCTGATTGGGACCGTAACCATTAGAGTCTCGTATATGTACTCATTATGATCTGGGATTGCACTTATAAGCTTTTGGTCGTTCAAACATAGGATGAAGCAATACGGGTTTTGCGCAAACAATACAGAATACAATAGGGAGGGGCGGGTATCGGAATAGCGGAATTATTTACCGATCCAGGCAACGACGAGTAACTAACGCTTAATGTCTGTTTGATACGACACAGATGTTATCCTTGTTGTTTCCTGCTGGTTAATCTTGCATGTTGAGGGGTACGAGTCGCGGGGGGGAAGGCCGCCTGATTCTATTCCAAAAGCTTGAGTGGCTCGAAAGCGATGTGGGCGGCACATGATCGCTGGTAACATCAACGGGGTTTATGTTCGATGTTTGGTTGGAGAGTTTAGGCTTTGATAACCCCTGGGATGTGGGTGAGGTAGAAGTTATCATTGAAAGGGGTTGTGTTGCCAGAGGGGCTGAAATATGATCCCTGGCAGAACCGAACGATGGTGATGTTCCCGCTCGTTTGAAATCCGTGGCAGCAACACCTCCACCTCCACTGGAGCGCTTAGCGTTTGTTTTAATTCTACTCCAAAAATCGAGAGGATGTGAGGGATGGCTAGCCTTCACGGACGAGCCGGGGGCAGAATCAGATAGTGGGATGGCTGGAAGAGACGACTCCGGTATTGAGGACGGCGGACTTGATCCACTGGGACCTAGATCTGAGTGTGATGAGGAAGAGCGCCCCTTGTTCGTCGTTTCCCGAAATGTCTGATTCGTCACTCCATGAAACAGAGCGGGAGTGTGGTGCAGTGCCCTTGAGACCCGTCACCGCTGCGACAGATGGTCTCCCTTCATCCGCAATTGTTCGTCGTCGATAAGGATTGGTGGTTGGTGAATTGACTGTTGTTGCAAAGTCCCATGAATCTATTGATCGATGTGATTGTGTGTGATTCGTGACGCGGCGCTCCTGTCTGGCAATCAACGGTGGTAAACTTTCTGCATTGCGATTATTTAACGCCAATGCACCTTTACACAAAACAAGACTCACTCAGAATAGCACCGACCAAGTAAGATTTATTCTTCGAGGACTTGAAGAAAGGTGTTTGCAGCAGTTCTCCCGCAGTTGGTCTAAGAACATTTATGAAATGAAGCAAAAGAAAAAAGGGGGATAATGATTGCTCGTACCGCTTCGATGGATCCTTGACGAGGCAGCTATCAATAACGTCCTTGAAAGCACGAGAGTACTTGTAGCTCCCGCCCTCCCTGTCCAAAGTTGGTGGTGCTTCTTGAATTCTATTTTTCACACGATCATACACGTTAATCGGGTGTTTGAAAATAAAAATTTATGGATCGCTATTTTTAGGATCAAGGAACAGCAGTGACCTCACATTTTCAGTAAGACTTTCTGCGGTGATTCTCTTGATTTTGGAGGACGCCCTTGCGTAAGCTCGAGCGCAGTGATTCCAAAACTCCATATATCAGCTGACGAGTCATATTGTTGGCCTCGTATCAGTTCCGGTGCCATCCAGCAGGGCTGTGGAGCGACAGTGAAATGTCAATATGGATCCAGGAACGGTTCAAAGGATTGGAGTGGGAATGATATAATCCATGAAATTCACTCACAGTCCCTACAAAGGACTTGCGTTTGCCAATTTTGGGTCTGGGTGGGTCGGAA